GTAACCGGATAAGTTTTTTACTAGAATACATATTTAAAATGTCAGAACTATACCAATGAGATAATAAATTCTGAAGAACGTTACATGCTTACTAATTCCCGGTTGATGCAACCAGTTAATTCCAAGCTAACTTTTTACTGACACTTGAAAGTACTCTTCCAAGAATGAATGGTACACAGAAATCGGGTTTCATTTTAATTCGTTTTTGTAGAGTCTGTGCGGAAAGAGAATGGGATTTAGAATGGAGGGCGCTGTAGTGCTTTTCTACCGTATTTGTAAGGTTTTACCCTTTTTAGACATGATCATGATCAAAAAACCGCAAGAAATCACAACAACAAACAAGTCCGTATGAATACAAAACTTTCACGTTTTACAGATTGTCTGATTGCCAAATAAAATCGTAACGTAAGTTCCGTTTTTCGCCACGCCCATTCTCTTTCCACACAGACTCTATCTTTCTTATTTAAAAAACATGAGCAAAACACTGCATCAAATTAAATAAAAATGAATTAAGCTGAGATTAAACCGATATAGTAGACAAGGATGGATGTCACATTGGGGGATAAAATTTCACATTGAATTCTTTAGCAACAAGTCTATTATTACCCATTTTTTAATCTGTGTTTCACCCATTTTGGTAGAGTAATTGTATAATTGTAACAACATGATATAAAGCGACATACAAACAGCTAGAATGTCTACTATTACATACAATTATAATAAGTATTGAGCACATTACGATTTTCATAAGCCGATCAGAGGGTACCTTCGCGCACACAACAGATTTTCAAAATAAATTATAAATATGTCTACAACAAATCTATTTTTGCAGATACTGGATAACGATATTTAAGATAGCAATAATTTGACCTAATCGTATAAATATTGGAGGCGGAGCTCGATGGCACATATGGTTAGCGCGTTCGGCCTGCGATCGTGGAAGTTAAGCTTAACTTTCGCAATGGTCGATCACGGATGGGTGACCAAATACTTATTGTCTCGAACTCCTCCGTGCTCCGGAAGACACATTAAGCCGTTGGTCTCGGCTGCATATGCAGTCTTTAGCACCCGCCAATCGGCACTGGGCCCGCGTGGTGGGTCACGTCACGGACCAATCCATGTGGAAGGCTAGTGCCCCGGTAGTGGGGACATTAATAAGCTGATGATGATGATATAAACATTGTTGAAGTTCTTCATAGTATGTATATTTTGTATTAATTTCATTTTTATAGACACAGCTTTAAATGTATAAGTATTAGGTATGTATGTACCACTATTTACTATAAATTTGGTTAATGATTATAATGCACAGTGTTTCTGTGTCATTACAGCCAGTTAGAATTATGGATGTTTTAACTGAATTTAAGTACTATAACATTTATCATTCAAACTTTTTGCCAAAAAGTTAACATAAAGCGTGTTTAACACATTGATAGCGCGCCGGTACCTCAATTTACAAAAATTAATAAATTGACATTAGCACAACTTATGTTAGAAATTATTAAATCAACTTGATAATTATATAATTCTAACATTTATTTTAGACACCGCATCGTATTGTTATACTATTAATATTTGGATTTACCTTTACAACCACAAGTAAGTCATGTCATAGCAGTAAGTTGAACTTACATAAACCTATAGATGGTGATATTAATAATCTTAGGGAATATTGGCTTGTTAATTGCAAAATTTCAGCGTTTGACTGGCTGACAATAACTTTAATATTATATGCGAATAAAATGTTAACTAGAAAAAAATGAATTCCTCCTAGTTACCAGGATACATTTTAATCACATCCTAGTATTAAATGCACTGTAATTCTTGCTAGTTTACTCTTTTTGTTTGGACTAAATAGACTAGGTAAAGTTTTGTATGGTGTCTAAATGTGCCTAATTTCCTATGATTTTAAGTTGTCATGCTGTTTTTTTTTTAATAAAGGAGAGTTATTTACAAAAGATGCAGGTTAAGAGTATATTTTTTTTTATTTTCTTTTCGGTGTCTAAAACAGTAGCAAACAGAATAATCCTCAAATACAATAAAGATATCAGATTACGTATCACTGCAATATATTCTAAAATTACTAATCAACAACATATATTGATATATTAAGATATATAATGAGCATCAAACAGTTATTTTTAATAAGTAATTATATGCACGTTTGAACGTTTCTGTATTGCGAGATCTTTCTATTAACAGGTTGTAGTCAACAACAAAGTTAAAAAGAGATTACCAATTTTAAAATAAAAATAATATCTGTTGATTCACTTTTGATATTCTCTGTACAATATAATGTGACTCCAAGCATGATACATTAAACAATGCCTGAAAGCTTCTTACCTATGTCTCTTTAATTTTGTAGGATTTAATTTCATGTTTTTCTGCTTTGCTTTGACATAAGGTGCAATATCGAAATGAAAACCTCTAAAGGCGTCTAAGAATCGTCTAGAATGTCCTAGAAGTCGTTAATTGGATTTTGTGCTGAGACGGGGTCCCTTAGTTGTATAGTAATAATTAATATAATATAGATAATAGGTAACCAACCATTTCGTATGTATAAAGCTGAAATTTACTAAAATTTTAATACCAGTTTCCTGGGTAACGATAAATTGAAAGAATTTCGGTTTCAGAATGAAAAATGTACATAATTTATTAAAATTTCAATAGCTTTTGAGCACTTTATAAATTTCAACTTTATATATAAGAGTTAGAACTATCAATCTTATATCCTTTTTTAATGTAATCATTTCAAATTTTAACATTTATTTTCATTACATTCGACGTAGCAAACGTATGCCTTATATAGCTAGCTTTGTGGATATTTTCATAGACATTAATATTTTATACATACACAAAGGTTTAGCTACCATCTAACAGCATCAATTTTGCACATCATGATAAGGTGACCACACTTTCAGCTGATAACGTGATTTTATAGGTATCAACATTAGTAAGTTATATATAAAACCATGTTACTTGACATCAGTATAACGCCATTATTGTTAGAATCTAAACCATTGTTTAAATTACGGGGAGAATATTATTTTTATAGAAAATACGTATTATGTACTATACTTGAGGCAGGCTAACATAAAATATCAAAAATTCTAAATTCTATTTTAATCTTTAAGCCGAACCGCTAAGGTCGAAAATTATTTTGGGATTATGTACCATCTAAACAGTTTCACCACCTCTCAATTATGTTTGCGAAATGAAGACAAAATCGTTTTGGTTAGTCTGCGTAGCTGCTATATATACTTTAAATTGTTGGAGGATAATATATCCACAAAACCAGCCATACTGAACGATAAAAACGCACCCGAGTCTTCTAGATTTCCTTAAAGTACTGAAGAAGCTTAGGGAGAGTAACAGTGGACAGGGTTTCTACACGCAAAGTAATCACTAAACTAAACTGGTGTTGAGGAATCCATTCTCGACAATCATGATACATTTTATGCGGGCATTTCTCTTAGCTATTAGTTCTATTTGTAATCTTGACATCAATTTGTCCTTTTCACTCCTTATAAGGCGTGATAAGGACAAGCTGTTGTCAAGTTTACAAATAACAAATACAATACCCAGTTAAGTGCCGGCATAACAATCCACTAACACTTTTTACAGCTTACGCTAGAATCAATATTGACCTCTGTATATATATGTCGCTTTAACGCAATGTAACTTATGTCGCAAATATAAACCTTTAATCAATTTCTGAACCTTTTTTTATAAACAAATAATATTTACATTTAATTATGAAATTAAAATACTTTTTACTACTTATATCACCGCTACTATTATTATATCATCTAAATAGTGTAAAATAACAAATAATTCTTTCATTATCACTATTTTTTCACGTGAAAGGTACAAGCAGTAGCACATTCAGCTATATGAAACTGTCGAAGTTCTCCAATTGGTTTTTAAGCTTAATGCAGGTAACATAAAGTTGTAGTTCAGAACTGATTATAAAATATTGGCAGTTGATGAAATCCTGAGCTGCTATTCAGCTTCAAAATTCAATCGGTATACATACACACACGATTATAATTGTTATAAGTAACACAAAAAAATTATCTGCATCGCCGAAACCATCAAAACCCGAACGAACACCGCAACACCAGCGGCTTACACTACACAATAATATATATTACACTACCGAAACGAAAAGTCCCCGCCGCCTATATCCTGCTGTCGGATAGGCGGAACTTTTTGCAGTAAAGCCCTTTTCAAAACGGACGATGGTGGCTCATATAAGAGGACTGGTTGTAGAAGTCGCGTCTTAAGAACCGGTGGCTGTTGGTAGGGTACATTCCGTAGGAGGTCGTGTAATCTTGTCGGCTGTGGAGCATGTCTAGTTGGTCCAAGCTGTGGTGGCGCTGAGGCATTATGGACGCGTGCGATCCTTTACATAGCAGCGTGCACAAACATTTTCACACTTAAGACATGTGTAGTTTCAGCCTAAGCAATTACACCGCCAATTGTAAATGGTGGTTATAATAGTGTCACTTTTCACAGTTGTCACCAAAATGCACATTCATACAATATATCGATAAAGTATTACAACCTAATGCCGGCACTTGGTTATTCGTGTTTGCTATTTGTAAACTTGACTTTAGTCTGTCCTTTCTTTTCTTATCAAACATGATAAGTAGACTGTTGTCAAGTTAACAAATAGCAAATACGAATAGCCAAGTGAAGTGCTGGCATAAAACAACTGTAATATATACAGTTGTTTTAGTGTCATCACCACTATGTGATTTTATGCTTATATTTGCTGAAATCGACATGCTTTAACATATATTACCTTAAAAAACTGGATAAAATCGAATGCCTCTAGCAACTTCAAAAACAAGGCAGCTAGTGTTGTTTCTTATAAGATATAAGTAAAGAAATATAACATTATAAATGCTGCATTAATCAAAATGAGAAACGATAACTCATCATGTATTTATATCCTTATAGGTAATTGAGTTAAGGTTGAAAATCGCTTTGCTTACCTCTATTATGATGAAATCCCGCGGCCCAACCGGCGTAGTAAGCTGCCTTCTGTTTTCCGTGCTCCTCTGCAACCTGCAAAACATTATAATTCATTTTATTTAAATATTCACACGTTTCGTAGATTTATTATTACCAGGTTATAATTAATAATTATATACTTTCAAGGGCACTACTTAAAAACCTGAAACTTCTCTTAACAGGACCATCTTTAACGTTTTTTTTTACATAGAAGGCCAATTTACTTTTCTAACTAATAATATAATAATATATAACTTCTACATAATCTTGAATGTGAGTAGAACCTTGTAGTGGTGATAGATGATGTTTCTTTATCACCAGACACGATCGACTTTAAACTCGCTAAGCACTGCACTGTGACAGATTGCTCAAGTCTTACAAAAACAACTAAAATATATCCATTGATTAGTACTCTGCTTGTGAAAATCGATGCCTACTATAAGACTACCAACATGATAAAATGATGTAAACTACAGACCTTAGCATCATTTAAAAACACCACATGATGTCATACTTCTGCATACGATATTGAACTTTAATCTTAACAACTAAGGCAGAAATTTGTTTGATCTGTAGAGCTGTAACAGGCGTGTGTATAGGTAGCGGCAAACATCTTGAGCAAAACCACAGATAATTTATTCTGTGCAGTTGACATTTTTGTATGTAGAATTGCTACTGCGCACGCTGCCTTTTCCATGTTCTTGCTCAAGATGTTTGCCGGTGTGTATACATGATGTTCTAATCAATTACACTTGGCGCAATAAACCGCGTTTGTCGTCGCGTTTATGTGGACGCTAAAAATTTGATATTACTCCTATTTAAGAAGTATAACGACTAAATTCGTCCTAAGTGCAAGTATTTCGACGGTCATCGTCTAGCCCAGTGGTTCTCAAACTTTTTAAATGACGGAACCCTTTTGGGAAGCAAAATACTTGATGGAACCCTACAATAAAACAATTATTTTTATAAGTGTATTCTATATTAATCAGCATAATAAAAGTACAATGTATCCGTTACTAATTATTATTTACTTCACCACTTGGTAAGGACAATAATAGAAAACATTAAAAAAGAAAAAATCTAACTAGTGGGAGGTATGAAACTGTTTTTTATTTTTCATCAATTGCTTGATATCAGGTTTGATGGAAGAAAGTTGGAGTCTCATATCAGCTTCGGCGTCCAGTCTATTGCGATATTTTGTTTTCGTGGCTGCGTAGGTAGAGAATCCTGTTTCGCACAAATATGTAGTTGGGAACGGGAGAAGAATATCCAGAGCCATTTGGCCAAGCATTGCATATTCATCTTGGATTCTGCACCAAAAATCATTAAGAGGCGTCGTTTTGAACAATGACTCCATACTTGTGTCTGATGACATTTCTAAAAGAGATTCATATATCTCATTTGACATGTTTTCAGGCTTTTCCAAGTTGGGTAAAAAAGGATTATGAATCCAGGAGTTCACTTTAATTTTTGTATTGTGTTCTTCGGGAAAATACTTTTCAAAAGATGCGCGCATCGAACTGAGATATTGGACCAATTCTTCAAACACATTATCTTCAAACATTTCTGAGTCGTTTTCGCTAACAAACTCAGTGAGTAACGTAAAACTTTCTATTTCTTTCTTACCAATCCAAATGATCCAAAAATCTAATTTTCTTTTAAAAGTAGTTATTTTATTATAGGCCTGAAACACTGTTGTCTGTTTACCTTGCAATGATAAATTTAATTCGTTAAGTTTTTGAAAGATATCCGCCATAAAAGACAATCGGAACAACCAAGTTTTATCATACAAACGGTCCTTCAAATTAAAAGAAGTATCTGCTGAAAGAAACATTTGTAACTCGGCTCTAAGTTCAAATAGCCTTGTTAAAGTTTTTCCCCGAGACAGCCATCGCACTTCTGTATGGAGCAGCAGTGTTTTATGTTTGCTGCCATAATCTTCACACAATAATGAGAACAATCGGGATTGTAGTGGTCGTGATTTGATAAAATTAATTATTTTTACCGCTTCATCCATAACTAATTTTAGATTAGACGGCATTTGCTTCATCGCAAGTGCTTGTCTATGCAGAATACAATGACTGGAACTACAATTAGGCGCTTTATTTTTCATTCGTGACACTGCTCCTGCTGTTTTACCTGTCATCGCCTTGGCCCCATCTGTACAAATGTCAATGCAATTGTTCCAACTGAGATTATGTTCTTCAAAAAATATATTTATTTTATTAAAAATTTCTTCCCCGGTAGTGTTTGTAAGCAGCGATGAACACATAAGCATGTCTTCTTCAAAAGAACTTTTATATGGATATCTCACAATAACCAGCAGGATAGCCAAACCAGCGACATCAGTCGACTCGTCCATTTGCAAAGCGAATCGTGTATTTTGTAGACGTGTAACTAGTTCTTGTTTGACGTAGCTTGCCAGATCATGGATTCGTCGTGAAACAGTATCGTTTGATAGCGGAACAGTAGAAAGATGCTTTGCAGATTTTTCATCAAGCATACATTTTGTTATGTCTAATACACATGGTTTTATTAATTTCTCAGCGATAGTGTGCGCTTCACCTGCTTGTGCAATGCGATAGCTAACTAAGTATGATGCCTCCGTGGCCTTTTCGTTGGTAGTTTGTGTTACATGCATCATATTTTTTTGACTTTCTAATAACTGATCTTTTTTGCGAACAAAAAATTCTTTATTCTTGTCTTTAGTCTCGGGGTGTACGGTTTCTAAATGTCGACGCAATTTGGCAGGTGCCATGGAACTATTAGGAAGCAGTTTACTACAGAGCATGCAGAGAGGTGAGCCGTTGGAATCAACAAATCCGAAACTGATATAAGATTCATCATACTTCCTTTTTTTCGTCTTTGAAACCGTCGAGCTTGACGTCGTGGCACTCGTGGCATCATCTTCTGGATCGGTGATTGCTAAATTCTCCGCGCGCATTGCTTTTGAACATTCAGCGTCATTAGAAGATGTTGTTGGAACACGTTTAACACCTTTAAGCCAACGTTCCATTCTTCTTTATTTATAATGTTACAAGTCAGGATAGTGGGGTTTAAATAATGCACAATCGTTACTGCGTATAAGAGACTAAATTTAGAACCTACAGGGAAGAAATGTATAAAACTGAGACAACAGAATACAGCAGGCAGTAAAACAATGAACACCAGTTTCTCGCTAGCGAGCTTGTAAGTAGGTAGTAACTTATCGCTCCGAACGCTAATCATCAACTGACGACGCCAACGCGCGATCGCCGCTTTTATACTTAGTCCTAGACTCGATCTCAAATATTCTCGAAAATACTCGAGTCGGCACCTTTGATAAACAAAAAGCAAAAATAAAAACAGAAATTTAAAAATAGCGTTGTAAACAATATCGACTTTATCCTTTGAAGTTAGAGACGAAAGTCGCTAGTTGACAACTATAGCGTCTAATTCAGAGGCGGCTTTTATCAAAGAGACTGAGCGCTTACAAGTATACTACCCGCTCGTTTTAAGTTTGCCGCTGGCGATAGGTATGAGTGTATGACGTTCGAAATTTTTTATTTAATTGTAACAATAAAAATTGTGTACGTTAGATATTTGGGTAAAACTATGACACATTATAAGTTTTGTTGTCACGTGGGGGAGGGTACGCGCATTCCACAGACCGGCAAACTTAGAGCGAACGCGTTGTACAAGTATAAAATTGTTGAGACCAAACTTATGAGATATTGTACCAGCTAATGTAACACAAGCTTATACAAATACAAATAAATAAATAAATAACATTCATAGCGTTTTGTCTCCGCGCGGCCGCGGAGTCCGCACAGCCGCGGAGCGACCAGAGAGAGGTGTTTTGATTTTTTTATTTCTAAATTCTTGCGGAACCCCGACAGAGGTATCACGGAACCCTAGGGTTCCGCGGAACACACTTAGAGTATAGCTGGTCTAGCCGGTATGAACAAAAGTGGCAAACAACACTGTTTATGTTCTTTCTGTGATATACATCCTATGGCGACGAAGATATTTCTGAGCCTATGAACACCACGTTTTTTATATGCGCCGTCGACGCGCGTTTGTAGCGATACAGATATTAGCATCGCGTGTGTATTGATACTAACGACAACCAACTGCTCTGTAGGACTCAGAGACGTCCTCTAGTTGAGCCGACAACCTCAGTTTCGAGTGGTCTAGAGACTCCAGACGGAGAGGAGACTCCCCCCGTGGGAAGATGCCATCCGCCTGGAATACCTTTAAAGGCACTCGCCAATTCTCGGCTTGAGGTCCCGTTAGGATCTCGCCGTCCCCAAACCTGGTGACGCTGTAAAGGTCATCTGCGACCAACAGTATACACACTCAAAAAAAATGCTCTGTAGGATTAAAGGTTAAAAAACGTGGTGCGCATAGGCTCTTAGTAAACCCACCAACCATACTTAACAAGATCCATGGCAAAACTCTTATGAGTGTTTATGGTGGCACTCCCCACAAAAAAAAAAATAACATGGGTTGGGTGTTTGCGTATTTGTGCTTAATTTATTAGTAAAAAGATGCCCATGACGCAATAGCAATTACACGACAATACTAGCGTCCGTTCACATATAAATAAATAAATATTTCCAACACTCACACCAATTAGCCTAGCCCCAAAGTAAGCACTGTAAGGCTTGTGTTATGGGATGCTAGGGTAACGGATAGAATACATATACAGTACATATATAAGTATATTTATATAGAAATACATATTAAACATCCATGTCTGGAGTACAAATGCTCGTATTCATCACACAAAAATCTGCCCCGGGATTCGAACCCGGGACCTCTCGAGTCGGCGACACCATGAAACCCGGCGATAAACCACTCGGTCACGGAGGTCGTCGGTCGGTCGTCATATGGTGCCAAACAACGAATATTTGTGGAATACGATAGCAAAAAAACAACATATTGGACACTATACAAACATATTCATTGCGATCATTTGTCAAACATCTCGACTAAAAATACAATTAATAGCCATGTGAAGGGCGACTTTATGTATTCAAAACCAAACCAATCCTGTCTTAAAGTTCTATGTG